ACAAAACGTACTGAAGCGGGTGAGAAACATGCAGGTACCTACAGGGGTGAAAACTTTTTTCTTCAAGTTACACACAGGAACACTATCAGTAAAGACTTTCACAGAGGAACGGGGTTTTTTTTACACTATGGGGGTCACACTGCTTGATATGTAAGAAACCAGAAACAATAGACCATGTTTTTTTGCATTGTTGGGAAGGGGTACATTTTTGGGACATATTACAGAGGACAATAAAGAAGGATTTTCCACTAGACCCACACGGAATAAGGTACCTCGCAGTAACAATGATGATGGGGTCCCATTCGATGTAGTGATGTTGACCGGTCTCCACTGTATATGGCGTGCACGAATGGCCGGATACCATTTCGACCCGGACGCAAAACCAGCAGTAATTTATTTCAGGCAAAGCATGTCTGCATTCATTGAGTGTAGCAAAATAGAGGATATCGAGCCAGAATGGTTGTCAAGGGTTGAACCCCTGGCAAACCTTAAGTATTTTTAAGAGGACAACATCAGTACAAATGGGACTGATGGCAATGCTTGTTTTTTTTTTCTTTTTCTTTTTCTTTGTATTGTAATATATGTGTGTGCAATGATTGCCCTGTACAATGTCCATGCCAGGCAATAAATAAAAAAAAAAAAAAGCTGGAACGCGCGATTGGTCATCTGAACCCCGGAAAGTCACCGGGACCCGATGGCCTAACCGCAGCATGGTATAAGACGTTTAGAATAGAACTGTCCCCGGGGTTAGCTGAGCTGTTCAATGAGGCGTACGAACGGAAAACTCTGCCGCCCTCCTTCAGCAAAGCGCATACGATATTAATTCCTAAAACGGACGAAGGGGAAAAACTTAAACTGGTGACATCGTATAGGCCCATATCGCTGACCAATGTCGACTACAAGATTTTTATGAAGGTTCTGGCAGCGCGACTTCAAGGTGTCATTAAAGAAATTGTTGGAGAGCACCAAACTTGTGGAATCAAAGGCAGAACCATTAGCTCAAACATTCACAAGATGCGGTGTGTGCTAGAGTGTTGTGACGAAGATTCACTTGGCGTTGCTGTGCTCCAGATAGACCTGGAGAAAGCTTTTGATTGTGTTGCGCATGATATTTTGTTTGTCATCTTAGATCATATTAATGTCGGTTCCATCATCAAGGAGGGAGTGGCCTTGGCGTACCAGAACTGCACAACACGTTTAATTGTTAACAAGTCTTTGGGGGCCCCCATTCACGTAATGCGTTCTGTGCGTCAGGGCTGCCCCCTCAGTCCACTTTTGTTTTGTATTTACATCGAAGCGATGTGCTTAGCGATAAATGAAAATGAAAAAATTCGTGGCTTCAGCTTGGCGGCAGTGGAAGTTAAGCTGCTGGCATATGCAGACGACATTGCGGTGTGTTGTACGAACAAAGAAAGTGTAGAGGAAACGATAAGTGTTGTGAAACATTTTTGTAGCGTCACAGGAAGCCGCGTAAACTGGGCGAAATCTCTTGGGCTTTGGCACGGAAGGTGGCCTTCAAAGCCGGACCTTTTTGCGAATGTGCACTGGACGGAAACACCGACAAGGTACCTCGGTGTTCCCCTGGAATGTTATAACGGCAGCGAGGAGTATTGGTCGCGTCAAACAAAAGAGACGAAGGAAAAAGCAGACAGGTGGAAAGGCATGAACCTGTCTGTTTTCGCTAGGGCTACTGTGTGCAACATGTTTTTTATCGCTAAACTGTGGTATGTGATGCAGGTGTTACATTGTTCAAGGATCAACGTGCAAAGGCTGCACAGAGTGTTCGCAGTTTTTATATGGGGCTCGAAATGGGAAAGGTGCAGACGGACCAACTTGTTCAGGCGCGTGAAGGACGGAGGTCTTGGTTTGGCGCACCTATTTGTGAGACAAGTAGTAAATAGATTTTTGTTTTTCCGTGACGTCAGGGATCCGTTTTTACGTACGGTATGCCAGCTCAGGTTAGGCAGTGCCTTACCAGATTTTGTTGTTACTACGGATAGCCGGCCCGTGACGTTGCGTGGGTATCTCAAGGAAGTGGTAGACAGTGTACGTTTTTTATCTGTACGCTTTTCGATAGATTATCTAGCAAGTGTTAGAAGAAAAGAATTGTACAGAGATGTATGTGCTATGGTTTTGCCAGTACCATTGTACAGGGCCATATACAGTGGAAGACCGGGACAAAACGTACTGAAGCGGGTGAGAAACATGCAGGTACCTACAGGGGTGAAAACTTTTTTCTTCAAGTTACACACAGGAACACTATCAGTAAAGACTTTCACAGAGGAACGGGGTTTTTTTACACTATGGGGGTCACACTGCTTGATATGTAAGAAACCAGAAACAATAGACCATGTTTTTTTGCATTGTTGGGAAGGGGTACATTTTTGGGACATATTACAGAGGACAATAAAGAAGGATTCTTCCCGAGCAGGTTCGAACCCTGCTGACTGCGTTTCTTAGTTTCGTTTTTCTCTTCTCGACATAGTCGACTATGTTAAGAGTGAAATAGGAGTTGACGCCATCGCCGCAGTCGTGGTCGAGTGGTTAAGGCGATGGTCTTGAAAACCATTTGGTTCTTGCCGCGCAGGTTTGAATCCTGTCGACTTGGTTTCTCGTTCTGTTTTTCTCTTCTCGACATAAACGGCTATGTTCAGAGTGAAATAGCAGATGATGCCCTCGCCGCAGTTAGGGCGGAGTGGGTAAAGCGATGTTCTTGAAAACCATTCGGTTCTTCCCGCTCAGGATCGAACCCTGCCGACAGCGTTTCCTCGTTTTTTTTCATTTCTCGACATAATCGACTTTGTTCAGAGTGAAATCGCAGGAGACGCCGTCACTGTAGTTGTGACCGAGTGGTTAAGGCGATCGTCTCGAAAACCGTTGGGTTTTTCCTGCGCAGGTTCGAACCCTGTCGACTGCGTTACATCGTTTTTTTACTCTTCTCGACTTAAATGGCTATTACAAGAGTGAAATAGGAGTTAACGCCGTCAGCGTTGTCACGGACGAGTGGTTAAGGCGAAAGTCTTGAAAACCATTGGATTCTTCCTGCACAGGATCGAACCATGCCGACTGCGTTTCCTCGTTTTGTTTTTATCTTCTCGACATAGTCGGCTATGTTAAAAGTGAAATAGGAGTTGACGCCGTCGCCGCAGTCGTCGCCGAGTGTTAAGGCAATGGTCTTGAAAACCAAAGGGCTCTTCCTGTGTAAGTTCAAACCCTGCCGACTGCGTTTCCTCGTTCTTTTCTCTTCTTGACATAAACGGCTATGTTAAGAGTGAAATAGGAGTTGACGCCGTCGCCGTAGTCGTGACCGAGTGGTTAACGCGATGGTCTTGAAAACCATTGGGTTCTTTCCACGCAGGTTCGAACCCTGCCGACAGCGTTCTCTCGTTTTTTTCTCTTCTCGACATAAAACAGCTACGTTAAGAGTGAAATGGGAGTTGTCGCCATCGCCGTTGTCTTGACCAAGTGGTTAAGGCGATGGTCTTGAAAACCATTGGGTTCCTCCCGCGCAGGATCGAACCCTGCCCACTGCGTTTCCTCGTTTTGTTTTTCCTCTTCTCGACATAGTCGACTATTTTAAAAGTGATATAGGAGATGACGCCGTCGCCGCAGTCGTGGCCGAGTGGTTAAGGCGATGGTCTTGAAAACCATTGGGTTCTTCCCGCGCAGGTTCGAACCCTGCTGACTGCGTTTCCTCGTTTTTTTCTCTTCTCGACATAAAACAGCTACGTTAAGAGTGAAATGGGAGTTGTCGCCATCGCCGTTGTCTTGACCAAGTGGTTAAGGCGATGGTCTTGAAAACCATTGGGTTCTTCCCGCGCAGGTTCGAACCCTGCCGACTGCGTTTTCTCGTTTTGTTTTTCTCTTCTCGGCATAAACGACTATGTTCAGAGTGAAATAGCAGATGATAACCTCGCCGCAGTCGGGGCGGAGTGGGTAAAGCGATGGTCTTGAAAACCATTGGGTTCTTTCCGCTCAGGATCAAACCCTGCCGACAGCGTTTCCTCGTTTTTTTAACTTCTTGACATAAACGACTTTGTTCAGAATGAAATCGCAGGAGACGCCGTCGCTGTAGTGACCGAGTGGTTAAGGCAATGGTCTTGAAAACCGTTGGATTTTCCTGCGCAGGTTCAAACCCTGCCGACTGCGTTTCCTCGTTTTGTTTTCTCTTCTTGACATAAAACAGCTACGTTAAGAGTGAAATACGAGTTGACGCCGTCGCCGTTGTCTTGGCCGAGTGGTTCAGGCGATGGTCTTGAAAACCATTGGGTTCTTCCTGCGCAGGATCGAACCGTGCCCACTGCGTTTCCTCGTTTTGTTTTTCCTCTACTCGACATAGTCGACTATGTTAAAAGTGAAATAGGAGTTGACGCCATCGCCGCAGTCGTGGTCGAGTGGTTAAGGCGATGGTCTTGAAAACCATTGGGTTCTTGCCGCGCAGGTTTGAATCCTGTCGACTTGGTTTCTCGTTCTGTTTTTTTCTTCTCGACATAAACGGCTATGTTCAGAGTGAATTAGCAGATGATACCCTCGCCGCAGTTGGGTCGGAGTGGGTAAAGCGATGGTCTTGAAAACCATTGGGTTTTTCCCGCTCAGGATCGAACCTGGCCGACTGCGTTTCCTCGTTTTTTTTTTCATTTCTCGACATAATCGACTTTGTTCAGAGTGAAATCGCAGGAGACGCCGTCACTGTAGTTGTGACCGAGTGGTTAAGGCGATCGTCTCGAAACCGTTGGGTTTTTCCTGCGCAGGTTCGAACCCTGTCGACTGCGTTACATTGTTTTTTTTCTCTTCTCGACTTAAATGGCTATTATAAGAGTGAAATAGAAGTTAACGCCGTCACCGTTGTCATGGCCGAGTGGTTAAGGCGATGGTCTTGAAAACCATTGGATTCTTCCCGCACAGGATCGAACCAAGCCGACTGCGTTTCCTCGTTTTGTTTTTATCTTCTCGACATAGTCGGCTATGTTAAAAGTGAAATAGGAGTTGACGCCGTCGCCGCAGTCATGGCCGAGTGGTTAAGGCGATGGTCTTGAAAACCACAGGGCTCTTACCGTGCAGGTTCAAACCCTGCCGACTGCGTTTCCTTGTTTTTTTCGCTTCTCGACATAAACGGCTATGTAAAAGAGTTAAATAGGAGTTGACGCCGTCGCCGCAGTCATGACCGAGTGGTTAATACGATGGTCTTGAAAACCATTGGGTTCTTCCCGCGCAGGTTCGAACCCGGCCGACGGCGTTTTCTCGTTTTGTTTTTTCTCTTCTCGACATAGTCGACTATGTTAAAAGTGATATAGGAGATGACGGCGTCGTCGCAGTCGTGGCCGAGTGGTTAAGGCGGTGGTCTTGAAAACCATTGGGTTCTTTCCGCGCAGGTTTGAACCCTGCTGACTGCGTTTCCTCGTTTTTTTTTCTTCTCGACATAAACGACTATGTTCAGAGTGAGATAGCAGATGACAACGGCGCCGCTGTCGTGGCTAAGTGGTTAAGGTGATTGTCTTGAAAACCTTTGGGTTCTTCCCGCGCAGGATCGAACCCTGCCGACTGCGTTTCTTCGTTTCGTTTTACTCATCTCGACATAGTCGACTATGTTAAGAGTGAAAAAGGAGTTGACGCCATCACCGCAGTCGTGGTTGAGTGGGTAAAGCGATGGTCTTGAAAACTGTTGGGTTCTTCCCGCTGAGGATCGAACCCTGCCGACTGCGTTTCCTCGTTTTGTTTTTATCTTCTCGACATAGTCGGCTATGTTCAGAGTGAAATAGCAGATGACACCGTCGCTGCAGTCGTGGCCGAGCGGTTAAGGTGATGGTCTTGAAAACCATTGGGTTCTTCCCGCGCAGGTTGGAACCCTGCCGACTGCGTTTTCTCGTTTTGTATCTCTCTTCTCGGCATAAACGACTATGTTCAGAGTGAAATAGCAGATGATAACCTCGCCGCAGTCGGGGCGGAGTGGGTAAAGCGATGGTCTTGAAAACCATTGGGTTCTTCCCGCTCAGGATCGAACCCTGCCGACAGCGTTTCCTCGTTTTTTTTAACTTCTTGACATAAACGACTTTGTTCAGAATGAAATCGCAGGAGACGCCGTCGCTGCAGTGACCGAGTGGTTAAGGCGATGGTCTTGAAAACCGTTGGGTTTTCCTGCGCAGGTTCAAACCCTGCCGACTGCGTTTCCTCGTTTTGTTTTCTCTTCTCGACATAAAACAGCTACGTTAAGAGTGAAATACGAGTTGACGCCGTCGCCGTTATCTTGGCCGAGTGGTTCAGGCGATGGTCTTGAAAACCATTGGGTTCTTCCTGTGCAGGATCGAACCATGCCCACTGCGTTTCCTCGTTTTGTTTTTCCTCTACTCGACATAGTCGACTATGTTAAAAGTGAAATAGGAGTTGACGCCATCGCCGCAGTCGTGGCCGAGTGATTAAGGCGATGATCTTGAAAACCATTGGGTTCTTCCCGAGCAGGTTCGAACCCTGCTGACTGCGTTTCTTAGTTTCGTTTTTCTCTTCTCGACATAGTCGACTATGTTAAGAGTGAAATAGGAGTTTATGCCAGTCGCCTCAGTCGTGGCCGCAGTGGTTAAGGACGATTGTCTTGAAAAAACATGGATCTTTCCGCGCATGTTCGAAGCCTGTCGCAATGCGTTTCCTAGTTTGTTTTTCTCTTCTCGAATATCGATATGTTAGAGTGAAATAGGAGTTGAACGCCGTTCTACTGAAGTCTTCGACGAGTGATTAAGGCGATGGTCTTGAAAAACCGTTGGGTTTCTCCCGCGATGGTTCAAAAACCCTGCCGACGGTGTTTCCTCGTTTTAGTTTTTATCTTCCGGGGACTAGTCGACTAGTTAAAGGATGAATTTGGAGTTGATGCATCGCCGCGGTCGTGGCCGCGAGGTGGATTAAGGACGATGGTTCTTGAAAACCAATGGGATCTTTCGCGCCATGTTCGAAGCCTGTCGGACTGGTTTCCTCGTTTTGTTTTTTCCTCTTCTCGACATAGTCGACTATGTTAAAAGTGAAATAGGAGTTGATGCCGTCGCCGCAGTCATTACCGAGTGGTTAATACGATGGCCTTGAAAACCATTGGGTTCTTCCCGCGCAGGTTCAAACCCTGCCGACGGCGTTTCCTCGTTTTTTTCTCTTCTCGACATAAAACGGCTACGTTAAGAGTGAAATAGGAGTTGACACCGCCGCCGTTGTCGTGGCCGAGTGGTTAAGACGTTGGTCTTGAAAACCATTGGGTTCTTCCCGCGCAGGATCGAACCCTGCCGACTGCGTTTCCTCGTTTTGTTTTTCTCTTCTCGATATAAACGGCTATGTTCAGAGTGAAATTGCAGATGACACCGTCGCAGCAGTCGTGGCCGAGTGGTTAAGGTGATGGTCTTGAAAACCATTGGGTTCTTCTCGCGCAGGATCGAACCGTGCCCACTGCGTTTTCTCGTTTTGTTTTTCCTCTTCTCGACATAGTCGACTATGTTAAAAGTGAAATAGGAGTTGACGCCATCGCCGCAGTCATGGCCGAGTGGTTAAGACGATGGTCTTGAAAATCATTGGGTTCTTCACGGAGGTTCGAACCCTGCCGACTGCGAATCATCGTTCGTTTTTCTCTTCTCGATATAAACGGCTATGTTCAGAGTGAAATAGCAGATGACCCTCGCGCTGCAGTCGTGGCCGAGTGGTCAAGGTGATGTCTTGAAAACCATTGGGTTCTTCCCGCGCAGGTTCGAACCCTGCCGACTGCGTTTTCCTCGTTTTTTTCTCTTCTCGACATAAACGACTATGTTCAGAGTTAAATAGCAGATGATTGCCCTCGCCAGCAGTGGAACGGAGTGGGTAAAGCGATGGTCTTGAAAATCCTTGGGTTCTTCCCGCTCAGGATCGAACCCTGCCGACTGCGTTTCCTCGTTTTTTTTCACTTTTTGACATAAATGACTTTGTTCAGAGTGAAATCGCAGGAGACGCCGTCGCTGTAGTCGTGATCGAGTGGTTAAGGCGATGGTCATGAAAACCGTTGGGTTCTTGCCGCGCATGTTCGAACCCGTCGACTGCGTTTCCTAGTTTTTTTTCTCTTCTCGACTTAAACGGCTATTATAAAAGTGAAATAGGAGTGAACGCCATCGTCGTTGTCGGGGCCGACTGGTTAAGGCGATGGGTCTTGAAAACCATTGGGGTTCTTCCCGTGCAGGATGGAACCGTGCCCCCTGCGTTTCCCTCGTTTTGTTTTTCCTCTCTGGACATAGTCGACTATGTGAAAAGTGAAATAGGAGTTGATTGCCGTCGCCGCGTCATGACTGAGTGATTAATACGTAGTCTTGAAAACCATTATGTCTTCCCCGCAATGGTTTCGAACCCTGCCGACTGCGTTTCCTCGTTTGGTATTTCTCTTCTCGACATAGTCGACTATGTTAAGATTGAAATAGGATTGACGGCCGTCTCTGCAGTCATTGGCCGAGTGGTTAAGAGATGGTCTTGAAAACCAATGGAGATCTTTCCCGCGCATGGTTCGACAGCTGTCCGACTTCGTTTCTCTTTTAGTTTTTCCTCTTCTCGACATAGTCGACTATTTTAAAAGTGAAATAGAAGTTGACGCCGTCGCCGCAGTCGTGGCCGCGTGGTTAATACGATGGTCTTGAAAACCATTGGGTTCTTTCCACGGAGGTTCGAACTCTGCCGACTGCGTTTCCTCGTTTTTTTTTCTCTTCTGGACATAAAACGGCTACGTTAGGAGTGAAATAGGAGTTGACGCCGCCGCCGTTGTCGTGGCCGAGTGGTTAAGACGATGGTCTTGAAAACCAATGGGATCTTTTCGCGCAATGTTCGAAACCTGTCGACTGCGTTTCCTCTTTTTGTTTTTCTCTTCTCGACATAAACGACTATGTTCCGAGTGAAATACCCAATGAAGCCGCTGCCGCCGTCGTGGCGGAGTGGTTAAGGCGATGCTCTTGAAAACAATTGGTTCTTCCCGCTCAGGATCGAACCCTGCCGACTGCGTTTCCTCGTTTCGTTTTTCTCTTCTCGACGTAAACGACTTTGTTCAGAGTGAAATCGCAGGATACGCCGTCGCCGCAGTCGTGACCGAGTGGTTAACGCGATGATCTTGAAAACCATTGGGTTCTTTCCACGTAGGTTCGAACCCTGCCGACTGCGTTTTCTCGTTTTTTTTCTCTTCTCGACATAAAACAGCTACGTTAAGAGTGAAATGGAAGTGGACGCCGTCCCCGTTGTCTTGGCCGAGTGGTTAAGACGTTGGTCTTGAAAACCATTGAGATCTTTCCGCACATGTTTGAACCCTGTCGACGGCGTTTCCTCGTTTTGTTTTTCTCTTCTCGACATGAACGTTTTGTTCAGAGTGAAATCGCAGGAGACGGCGTCGCCGCAGTCATGACCGAGTGGTTAAGGCGACGGTCTTGAAACCATTGGGTTCTTCCCGCGATGGTTCGAACCCTGCCGACTGCGTTTCCTCGTTTGTTTATCTCTTCTTGACATATTCGACTATGTTAAGAGTGCAATAGGAGTTGACGCCATCGACGCAGTCGTGGCCGAGTGGTTAACGCGATGGTTCTTGAAAACCATTGGGTTCTTCGCACGCAGGTTCGAACCCGGTTAGACTGTGTTTCCTCGTTTTGTTTTCACTTCTCGACATAAACAACTTTATTCAGAATGAAATCGCAGATGACACCTTCGGGCGCAGTCTTGCCGAGTGGTTAAGGCGATGGTCTTGAAAACCGTTGGGTTCGTCCCGCGATGGTTCAAACCCTGCCAACTGTGTTTCCTCGTTTGTTTTTCTCTTCTCGACAGAGTCGACTATGTTAAAAGTGAAATAGGAGTTTACGCCGTTCGCCGCAGTCGCGGCCGAGTGGTTAAGGCGATGGTCTTGAAAACTTTTGGGTTCTTCCCGCGCAGGTTCGAACCCTGCCGCTGCGTTTCCTCGTTTTTTCTCTTCTCGACATAAATGACTTTGTTCAGAGTGAAATCGCAGGAGACGCCGTCGCTGTAGTCGGTGATCGAGTGGTTAGACGATGGTCTTGAAAACCAATGGGATCTTTCCGCGCATGTTCGAAGCCTGTCGACTGCGTTTCCTCGTTTTGTTT